CATTACACACAATCAATAAAGATAAAGATTGAAAGAATTTGCATCATACACATACTGATTGCAGATTAATGTCCAAACATCTGCTGAGAGATCATATAAAGAAGACAATCCTCATAACTTCAGATCTTGCCTCATACTTATCATGTTTAGATGTTTTCGGCACTATCAATAGTTCCCCAAGTGATTCTTGTCCGTACATCCCTGGTTACACCACAAAGAGAAACTGTGCAAATGCAGTGTGACTTTTCTTGGTGCGGATTTACCAAAATACAAAATGTAATCTGATCAGACCAGCAATTTTTGTTGTTTTGTCGGGAAGTGTTATTTGGTTGTGTTTTGCCCTAAACAATCAGAGGTGAGTGACATATCCGTCACGCATGTTTTTTGCAGTAGGGGCTAGTGGGAGCAGAAAATTCCCTGTTTTTCCACATTGATAAACTAAATATGTCAATAGTTCTGTAAGTTGACTCGGTAACATGTAGAGCTGTGTCAGTCTCATTTTGCTGTTGCATTTTTCAGGGATGTAGCTATCTATTGATATACGAAGATGATGTCATCCTTAATCCTGCTGACTAATCTCTGATAGGTTGACTGTTTCTCCTGGTAGAAACTGCCATCAGCTGGCTCAATACTTGACCTGCTTTAATCACGGAACCAGTCTTAAATTTGTGTGCAAATCCAGCAGTCTGGAACCTGGCAAATAAATAAATACAAATAAATGGGGCTCAGGTGTAGCCCACACTTGAGTCCATGGTAACATTAAACTTCATGTTTATGCAAGCCATAGCATGGTGGGCTCCCTGGTGGAGTAAATAAAAAATTTGTGTTTTTTTGGTTTCACACCATTAGCCCATTTGTATACATTATTAAGCCACAGAATGTTCCATTAAGATGGTTCATACTGTTTATCCCACTCCATTTGTTTGAGGATATTTACTGTGTTGGAAACCGGTGGTCTTGAAAAAGCAACAAATAATTTTAGAACATCTAAGAACTGTATAAAATCAGTAGTACCACTGATTCTATGAAAATTACAATATATGGCATTCCCTAAAAACACATGTAAGGACTATGCTATAAGTCTGTAAATAATGGAAGTGAAAAGCAAGAAAAAGCACTCAAGGGCTCAGTTGTCAATTGCTAGTGACCATCCGCTGGGTGTCAGAGCTTATAAACCTTTTTATTTAACACTACTGCGGAAATAGAGTGGCAGTAATGGAGGAAGCAAGGAGTAACATAAATATAAACATATAAAAGAGGGCTGGAGAAATAAAATCAATCAATCAAAAGATTTTTGAATATCAGGAATGTAATTGGGAGGAAGGAAGGAAGAACGGAGGGAGTCTAGCTGAAGTTACAGCCAGACAAAAAGTGACAATGTTGCCAACCATCTTGTGTGGATCTATCATTCTGTCCAAATACAGTTTGCTGTTTGCCTCAATCGAAGTTTTAGCTTCATGAGTGAAATAGAAAGCCATAGGTTGCAATCCTAATTTACTTGTATTAAAAACACTTTAGATCTCAGGTGGGATTGGTTATTGATTCTCAAAGCTTTGTGATTTGTGCGTTATGCTACTGATGAGCCATTTGCCTTACTGAAAGTGAATGGGGGGCAGCGCCATAGCTCGCCACATTCAGTCTAGCTTTATCCCCGACAGAGGCTATAAAGGAAGGAAGAAGGAAGGGAGGGTGAAAAGGAAGAAGGAAAGGTGAATAATGAAGGTGAATTGTACGAAGCTGGGAATTTCCCTCATTTTATATCATAAATAAAAGACCAAAACATTGTGATTGCAAACCCTTTGATACAGTACACTGAGTGCTTAGAATCTGTTATCCATCGCAGTATATAAAGTAAAATGGAAAAGCAGGGAGGGATGAAAGCTACGACGCAGTTTTGGTTGTGATATGTTTACACCGGGAGGAATCGGACAGCATGTGTGTGTGCGCAAGGGGGAATCATGCACGCCCTGCTGAATTTCGCAGTGACACAGGAAGTGGTGATGTAATAGTATACAATCCTAAAGCTTTTTCACACACTCAATGTCTCCCGCTCTGTGTCTCTCACACACTGATGTGTTTGCCCCTTGGCCACCGTGATATTCCTAGTGCTATAATCATGTATGCGCGGTGGTTGCGGTTCGCGGTCTTTGAGCTCCCTGGTTGAGACAAACGCACACTCACAGACACATTTATGGAGCACGGAGCTTGCAGGCTGAGTGCAATGCCGTCTCCCAATGACTTCTTCTTTGATCGGTCATTTCCTGGGGTTAACCATCCATACTCTATCTACTAAAGCTCCCATTAAATGTTTTCCATCATAATTGTCACTCATTGATTGCTCACTTTCTGTTCTAGTGCCATCTTTCCAGCTTCTTAGCTTTAATCTCTGCTGTCTAAGAAACATGAACGCCCTCTGGGCCTCTCTGTCCATTTTTGATAGCTTACCACTCCACTGGCCTCATTCTGTTGAATTGCTGAAGTCTGAGCAATGAAAGCTTTAAGGTGTTTTCAGATGGAGTCCTATATGCACAATTTAGAGACAGTGCACAAAGTCAATGGAAAGAGGGTGCGATTAGACAGAAGGAAGTGTTTTTCTATCACTGAGTAATCTGACAACCGCTGACTATGTTACATATTTATTGATATAACATATTCAATGCATATCAGTAACAGTATACAACTCATAAACTGTACAACGAACCCAAATAGTGAATTGAATAACAATAATAAATGTTGGAACGAGCGATTTGGATGAATTTTTACCAGATTATTTCCTGTGATCAATACTGATCAGAGATGATTTTTCTGATAATTTTAGGGAACTTTTAACACAATTCTCTATCTGTATTATGTTTTTTGTTTTTTTAACACATACTCAAAAGGCTTCTTTTTTGACAAATTCAGTGTTTGAAATCCTGAGATATAGGCCTACTCTGGATTTTTCTTACACTACTTAAAATTAAGAAGACCTTGTGACCCCTAGTGAGGGTCCCGACACCCAGGTTGGGAACCACTGCACTATAGTGCACAATAGATGTGGCCATAGAATATTTTACTGATTAACTTTTAAGAGCAACAACTCTCTATGAGATATGTATCAGTATGTACTGTAATGTGCCAACACACAAGAAACATGACATATGTAACTACAAATGTTACACTACTACTTTTAACATTTACACATACAATATATATATATTTACCATACACTACACCCTACATCGACTATACACATTCAAAACTGGATGTTTTTCTCTGCTCCCTCATATTGCAGTGAGTTTAGCAGGGGACTGTTAACTGGTCAGAGTTAAAAAATGATTCAGTTTGTCCATGTCTTGGCTATTTACAGCAGCATACTAACACAGAGTGTGTGGGGGAAGACCTGCATTTTAAGGAACAGGAAGCAATCATACACACACATGCACACTCAATCATCACTTGGTCACTTGCCACTGGGCTCTTTATTGGATTGAAATGCCCGGAATATTCTAATGAGATGCTGAAGCTGCTCATGTGTGTATTTATGAGTAGAAGGGCGTCCCTCCGCGTTATCTCCCATCCACACTACTTAAGCTCCGTAGGGCTCTTCAAACAGCCTGCAATGGGAGGGAGCAGGGTGGGTGTGTGTGTGTGTGTGTCGGTGGTGGAGGGGGGGTAGCTTTCGGTACCAAGGGGAAATAGGACTGTGATTTCAGACCAAATTAAGCCACATCAAACAGGCCAGATCAAAGAGTATACAGCCCTAACTGTCTGTGCCAGTCTGACATCATGACAGGATGCCCCACCCCCATCACACACACACACACACACACACACACACACACACACACACACACACACACACACACACACACACACACACACACACACATTTCCTTCCTACTGTCCTGATTTTTAAAAAATTATTCCTCGAGTTCATTTTTTTCATAGTGGAAAGTTTCCCCGTGTTTTCCTGTTCCTGTAAGGATATTTGGACCTTATGCTGATATAAATACAACCACCCACCCCCATGCACACTATTTGCAAGCATTTAACAGGGTTATAGGTTAACCTGGATCAAGTATAATGTAATATGTGCTGAGACTGGGTGTGTATGATAGAGCAGTCATCCAGTCTAACGGAGGGGTGGGAGGATGGGGGGGAGCCGCATCCATTAGAGACACAGCTTCAGCTTTGAATTGTGTTAGCAATCCCGGCTGCTCTAGTCAAACCCTTTGATGCTGCCTGATGCCAGTGGCTGTCAAGTGTTCTGTATAAATGTGTGTGTGTGTGTGTGTGTGTGTTGGTAGATGGATTAGATGGCTGCATAGGAAGGAGAGGAGGGGCGGCTGCTGTTTTTGGGGATGAAGGAAGAGGTTGAGAGAGGGTGAAAAAACGGGGAGAGTCAGGGTACTGGTGGAGACAGTGAGGTAGGGGTGGGTGTGCTTTTGTGGAAAGAATGGGGAATTGGGTTGATGACAGAAGTTGATAAAGGTAAAGAGATACAGTATTAACCAACAGAGGTACAGGAGGAGAACAATGATTGTGATATTCAGAAATGTTTGTATTGTATTGTATATATATAACATTTTAAAAAGGAGCATACATGGAAAAAAGATATTATTTCCTCATCTATATGACTATTATTATTGGATACTGAGCCATTAACTAGTACTCCAAACTCCAAACTTTTGCTCAGTACAAAAATATTAAAATCAAAATGTACCTAAAGTATAAAAAATAAAACTAGCCACTATTTTTGAACTGTGTTTATTATATATTACCATATTATTTTCTTATTACTGATGCATTAATGTGTAAGCAGCATTTAAATGGAAGGGATAGAGCACATTTTTAGGGCTTCAACTCATCATTATTTTTCATTATCGACACATGCATCATTCTGTACAGTAAATCAGTGAAACAGGACAATAACTGCTGATCGACCTATCGATCAACATTGTTTAACCATATGTAACATCTGTCGATATTAATATGGATTTTTGTCTGTGTGTTGCCAGTGCTCCTATCCTGTGTGGGAGGACTTCAGTGCCAAGGCCACTAAGCTGCATTCCCAGCTCCGGTAAGTTTCTTTGACAACACAACAAAATGAAACAATACATAAATAAATAATCTTTCCAAAGTGTTATGTGAATATGTATTGCTACATTGGATTAAATAATGGTGTAAAAGGAAAGTCAGACTTCACATTGACATTGACAAAAAAAGCGTTTAGACCACCATATGACATCATGTAAATGCAGTCATTTCATGAGTTGCTGCTCTTTAAATCATGTCAAATTACTGGGATACTTACCTGCTTTTAACTACTCTTTCAAACTTCCCAACAACAAAATAAAAGTCCCATTTTACTAAAAGCTAATTTCTCGGACAATCCCTTATCCCAAAAACATACGGCAATTGCTATGAAGGCCCATTGCCTCAAAAATACACACTGTCCCTGAAATTGCAACGTGTCAGTGTCAGTGTTTTGCTTCATCTACGTGTGAAAAGTAGACAGTGAACCAGTGTGTGTATTACACATTTTGTCATAAACCTAACCAAGTATACTTGCTCATCAAGATAGTAGATAAATATCATTAAAGTTTTGGTACCTAAACCTCAACTGTCACTTGACATGTTTTCTCAGCAAACTTTATTTTGAAAGTCTAACCAGACATTTCATATTTATTATTGCTAACTCAACCACTAGAAAATACCGGGTCAGTCTCACATTTTGCTTTGCCTAGGCATGAAAAGTATGTGGTTGACCGATGTGTGAATTACACGCTTTGGCGTGATTCTGCGTTGGTATTTTTGGAGCAATGCCATTGGAGGAATGGATGTTTATTTTCGGGATAACGGGCTGTTGGACAATTGGGCTTTCAGTCCAATGGGACATTTTTCAGACTATGGAGGTTTTGGAATAATGGGCCATCGGAGCAATAGGCAGTCCCTAGATAAAACAGTGTGTAGTTTAGATAAAATCTACAGTTCTCAAACTCATTCAAAGCAGGTGCTCATTAAAAAAACCTTAACCATAATGCCATTTTATCTTAATGAGTTTTTTACTCTGTTTATCTAGAACCACTGTTCTGGCTGCTGTGGCTTTCCTGGATGCCTTTCAGAAGGTGGCAGACATGGCCACCAACACCAGAGGTAGGATAACATCTGTGTGTGTGTGTTTGGGTGTGTATGTGCCAAAGAAAGAACTGATACCGAGCTCAGAAACTATGAACTGTGTGCATCGGTATTTGTGTCGCTTTGCCAGTGCCGTGTTGTGTTTTGCTGAAGCGCTCTGCACATGGCAGCACTATTAGGAATCTTGTTATGTTGTTGAGATATCATCAAGCAGTCTACTAAACTCTCCTTTGACTGATGAAAGTGTTTCCAGCAGCCTAAAGGTACTCTTTGTCCCAAACTTCAAAGCAATTGCACTGCACTGTTTACAGAGGCAAAAAAGACGGAAGTACTGTAACTCAGAGAGGTCAATAGAAGGTATTTCTGTAGCAGGATATGTTTTGTTAGACTTCCCAATGCAATAGGAAGGCCAGTTTTGCATTCTAGTGTGTTGCAAACAGCATGGGTTTTGGAAGCTCCTACCAGTGTTGATAGTTATTGCCAATCTGTCATATCTTTAAATTGGTCAATTTTGTGAAGCATAAAAATTCTGTCTTTCTATCAGGGTTGTATTATTGTCAAGCTGGAAAGGTCGCTGAAGCATGTAAACAAGTAAAACACGGGTTATTAATTTAACAATAACAAGAATATTGATTCAGAATTTAGATTTAAACAAATTAGAACCATTTTGAATTTAGGATTAAGATGCTAATAGAGCGAGTTCTACAAAAATCCAGGTAGTAATAAAAAACCAACAAAAAGGAGCACTGTAATTGCCATTAGCTACTGTTTCTCACTGGAATGTGTCATGTTGTTAAGTAAACGTGGTAAAAAGTGTTGAAAATGCAGGTGTAAATGTCAAATGTAACTTTAAACAGCATTTAACGACTAGTTATCAGCAAGTTGCCTCACTTCTAAATACTATTCTAATCAAATTGTCCATTATTAAGCTATCCTGAGACTGTGGAAACATGGTTTTGGTCCTGCGCTGCACTCAGCTCAAAACCCACTGAACTTTATAGAATTATGGTCAATGGATTTTATTTTGTGTTTTTGGTTTGACACTCTTGATATTCTATGTGTAGGCTTAAAGCTCTGCACTAGCTTTAATGTGTGTGGGCTGAGGGCTGAGAAGGTCAGACAAACACTCACCGCCCACTGAAGGCCATCTGAATACTATGGTACCACTGAGGAAAGAGTGGGAAACGGGAGAGACAACTGGGGCTGTAATACAGGGAATTTCTCTTCCAGTTGTGACTTATTAGGTGCAGCTGCCAGACAGTGTGTGCGATGGTGATGTGTGTGCGTGTGTGTGTTTGCGGCCCCAGGTGGAATCCTTAGGAGGATACAGGAAGAGGCTCGTGCTGCTTTTACAGGCCAGACAGGAACTCACCAAGCCTTGTCAGCTCATTGCACATGCTGCTACCACTGCCACACACACAGAGAGGGAAAAATATAACATAAATGATGTTGGCACGGAGATGCAGACTGTGCAGCAGAGGCTCTTTGTACTTTCTGTGCTGATGAGTCATTCCTGTTGAAGTCCATTTGTCAGATTTCTGTACAATTGCTGCTCTTTCTCAGTGTGTGTGATGTTCTCTAATAGATTTGTTAAATGGATGGAGGCAGAAGACGGCAGCAATAATGATGCTCTCTGTCTTCCTGCCATTCGCTATATCAATGTGCCACTTATTGCAGCGTGTGTGTATGTGTGTGAGTCAAGCCCAAAGGGTACTGATGATCCTGTGCTCTGCTCTTGTACCGACACTCCCATTTATGAGCCTGCACTGGCTGTGTTTCCATTCAGCGTGTCAACCAAATTTTATGTGAACTGAAGCCTTTCATCAGCTGGGTGACAATGAAAAACTGGCTCCCTGAATATTACATATGGAATATTTCTGGAAGTTATGGTGGCCAAAGGCACTGCATAAACACTAATGACATTTATATTGAATCAGATAAAATATGCACTATCCACTCAATATGCTGGTGGCATGGCCCGAGAGATAGCAGTGTTGATTGGTCCATCACTTAAGTCAAGCCACAGCTGCACTTAGTGCTAATTAGCGAATGTTAGCATGCTGAAAATCATCATGCTGGCATTGTTATTGCCAGCTTGTTAGCATGCTCCTACCGTGGCAGTAGACTCCAACCTGGAAGTGCCAAAAACTGCAGTTCCTTGAATGGCCACTTGAAACTGGCTCCAAAAGTTAAGCTGCCATGTTACAATGTCCAACTTCACAGCCACAATAAAGATGTTTACAGCCTTATACAAAAAAACAGTTTTGGTCTCTAAAGCTAATTTCTCCATTCATGACAAACGAATAGTGGTGAATTTTTAGATATTTCACCCTTTAAATTATATCAAGGCAACCAAAGTTCCTCCTGAGCTGAAGAAAAATGTAGGGAATAGGTGACAATATCTTTCAAATTCTGAACAAAGCCTCATACTGCATCACATCCTGTGTGAGGTGGCCAATGGGAAATAGTCCAACAGCTACTGGTTTTGTTCTGCTGGATCATGGCCAGGTCTTGTTTTCTGCTGGGTCCCTACTGTTTAGGTCCCAGATATATTGAGTTTTCCTCTCAAGCTGATGAAGTTAAAGCAGCACAGAGGGTGAGAGAAACCGCTTTTCTTGTGTTTGAGATGGTGTGTGTGTGTGCGCATGTGTGTGTGAGAGGGATTTAACAAGTGGGTGAAATCCAGCAGGAGGAAATGTGCAAGTGTTTGTGAATTCCCTGGTGAGGGGTGAATTTGAGTGCACTTTCAGATGTGCTCTCTGCTCCCCTCTTATAGCCCAAACATTCACTTTCCCCAGGGCGAACTGACTGTGTGTGTGTGTGTGTGTGTGTGTGTGTGTGTGTGTGTGTGTGTGTGTGTTTGTGTGTGTGTGTGTGTCTGTGTGTGGGTGTATGGTGTGACAGCATACACAGTATACACAGTATACACAACGCGTCTGCTGCCCTGATGTGGGTTGGTGGAGGCCCTGTGCGTGTGTGGTGTGTTTCCCATGTTTAATAATCTGTCCATTTGGCACTGTTTAACAACTCCTCTTCATCCTTGCTTCAGGAGACACACACAGTAGACATGCTTCCATATTCACACACTCAGGCACAGACATACAGCTTTATTTGAATACAAACATTTAATGCTCCATTGTAAAGTTTTTAAACATAAACCATTTATCGTCACTTTCCTTTTGATAGCGTCTTGTGCCTCTATATACACCTCTTCTAGTGGAAGTTTTGACATTTTCTATTCCTGCTCAATATTTTTCAGTGTTTGTATATAGGCAACTTGTATCTTATAGTAGTTATATAGATTTTGTATTTAAAAAATGCAGTTTATTATAGTAAAATGATTCTATTGTGTGTTAATTTGTCATTTTCTCATATGATGAAAGTACAAATTAAAGTAACATGACATGCAGATTTTATGATATGAAAGTAATATTACTAATAACACACTCTACTTTTTGTACGACGTCTCTGGTTTGAAACTTTATGGGTGGTCAGCAAAAGCTGATTAAAATGATATTTGAACAAAAGTGAGTGTAATTTTCAGCTTTGAATTTGTTAAGTCAGCACTATAGACAGCCAATGCTCAGAGGTCTTAGCTCTGTCTGTGTATTTGTGTATGTGTACAAATTCTTTGTTTTAGGAAAAGTAAAAATGAACATATTTAGTTTTATAAAGCACTTGTAACCTCCAATACTGCTCATTATGGGGACGCCAGGTCTAGGACAGTGTTGTATCTGTTTATCTGCACCACACAATGCTACCGATGTGTTGTAATTTGACTCTTTGAGCTCTGAAGGGCTTTTGCTCTTTAATGAAGAAGATAAACACTTGTGTACCACTTTTCAGTTTTTACTGTTTTACTCATCAACTTCTCTCTCTTTGTTCCCATGTTGAAAATAATGTTGTTGTTCATTATGATGATGAGGCATCTCTATATCCAACTTACTCCCCCTCACTCTCTCTCTTTTCGCCTCCATACTCTCTGCAGTAGCGGCAGTAAAACCTGGGTCAATCCCAGGACTCTCACTATGCACACTTGGCACAAGGAGCAGCAGTAAAGTGCTACTCTGTGTGTGTGTGTGTGTGTGTGTGTGTGTGTGTGTGTGTGTGTGTGTGTGTGTGTGTGTGTGTGTGTGTGAGAGAGAGACTGAGAGATGATGAGGATGATGATCTGATGGTACAGAATGTCTGGCGGTTTTATTGCCAGGCTGTCTGCCTAAATATGAATATGAGGATTCATAATGAATATCATAAATCTCATTGATACACACACACACACACACACACATGCATGCGCTCATGCACGTAGACACAGAGCTGAAATCCAACTTCTTTACACTTCTAAAGTAAAATGGCAGTTGTGAATGAAGAAGCACTGTTAGAGAGGATATCCTCTAACACAGGTTTGGTTGCATTTTAAAATGAAATTATATCTGGGGTCCTTGATCAGAGCATGTCCAAAAGGGTATTCAAACAACAACAAAATAATATTAACAATATACATTAGCTTCACTCTCTTAGCTTTTTCTGTCACATCTCCAGCTATAACAATATATAAATTGTCAAATAATGCTTAGTAGGACATGGTCATCACTCCAACCTCTGTTGTTTTTCATTACGTACTTTTAAGTATGAAATTACAAAACAAATGTTCGCAGATGAGGTCATGGCCACCCTGAGGCGAGTATATCAACAACTTGCATGTTCAGGTTATCTTCTAAACACTTAAAACTGCAGTAGTTAACTTTTATGAGAATAACTTTTTGTCATATTAGCCGAATCTTTGACTATGTCCTGATTCTTGACAGTAGAACATGAGACAGTAACCTGTGAGAAAATCAGGTTCCTCTGGCTCCTCCTGGTGCTCCAAATGGCATTTGCATTAATCCATTGTGCCTGAATAAAAATAACCAATCAGAGCCAAGAAAAATACTTTAAGGTGGAGTATCATTCCCAGGTCGTCAAACACCAATGCTGGGAATGAGACTCAAAAATCAACTATCTTCAAGCCACCAACC